TCATGTCCTCATTATGTCTCTTAGCATACTAGATAAAATATTAAACCCAGTATAAACCTCATTTTAAAGATAAAATCATGTTTCTGTTTTGTCACAACTACTATCAGAACAGGGAATATAAATATTATATATATATATATATATATATATATATACACACATACATTTATTACTATGCGTACAAATACAATATTATTATTAATATTAAATTGGGAGTACATTGATTTTTAAATAGACCTTAAGCAGATATTACATTTTGTAGTGTGTTATTCTCTTCTAACATAATAATTAACAACATTGAAACAAAAAAGAATATTACCAAGTGTTTATTTTTATTAACTTTAAAGTATTAACTTTAATCAAAATATTTCAAACAAAATTTCATGTTTTACTTAAGAATATTGTTTTAATTAGTAATTAATTTATTGTTTTACCTGAGTCTTCAATGTCACTTTCTATCCTGTTAGCCTTTTGTAAAATCCCTTTAACTTACAAAACCAGCAAGATGAAAAAAGTATTAAGGGATTTGACTAGTTGCTTTGTATCACACTAAAACATTTTGTCTTCATTGATGAAATTACAGTATGATACTATAAAAAATATATATATACAAAATTAACTTCAACTGACACACTCATGCACACAATCGTTACTGTTGCTATTGTGTAAATGAAGTTATAATTAGTTTAAAGCATATAAACACTTCCTTAAATGACAACACGTGTGTATTCACTTTTTATGTTAGAGCACAAACGTTCTGCATAACAGGAATGAGCATAAATGCATGCATCCATCAGGTATGATAATCCTGTGATTGTAAACCTGAATTATAAGTCTTAGATCAAAGATTTTACACTCACATATATAACATATATGAGATACTTGTCAGCTTGCTTGATTTAAAGACGTTTAATTATTAGTTTCTTCTTAAATCCGTTTAAAAATTTACCAACAGTCTTGTCGACAGGTAATAAACATTTTTCACTTGCATTTTTTATTGTGTAAGTCAATTTTAGAAACTGTGCATCTCATCTGCTATCATATATTTCATCCGACACTCTAGATATCAGTATTGGCATCAGCAGTTAAAAACAAATCGATGGTGCACAGGATGAGCTAGGGCTGGACAATAATTCAATATCAATATGTATCGCGATCACACACACACACTGAAATCCTCTTTACACTTACAAACAAAAACACACACACACATGCATTCTCTTTTCTTCTTATTCACACACTTTCCTGTCCTGGATTGACACAAAAAGCTCATGGATTTGTAGGAGATCTGAAACACAGGAGAAACACTGGTGTGTTTCAATGACTACAGGATACTGTATTGATGTACTGGTTGTATTAAGGGAGGCTAATGTAACAACGGTAACACTTTACTTAAAGCCTTTATATATAATGCATTATAAAAGTATTTTAATGCATTAATTATGCCTTGCAAAGCACCTTATAATGCATTTTGTGATAAATCTAACCACAGTTATAATACTATTCATTGTTACACCTTTAGAAAGTACAATGGATTAGAACACATGACAAACACCCAATTTCAGATGCAACAAGAAATATGCAACTATTATATGCATTTTAACTTTAAAAAGTAATGCATAATAATATGAATACCTTTATAATGCATTATACACAAGTGCTTCAAAGTAAAGTGTAACCATCATTTGGTATCTTTTGGTTTAAGAAACATATTATGCACCATTAGTAAAAGGACAATTAATATACTTGCACTGAGAAAGACGGCTTCATCAAATTTAATATATAACAAATTTTAAAGATGAAATTAAACATTAAAGTCAGAGTGTTGGAATTGGTGCCAGTTGAAAAACAATAATAACCTACTTCATCTCAAATCATTCATATTACTTCCTTGATACGATATAATTTTGGCTGTCATGAATAGAAAAAGCAAAATTCTATATAGAAACTGTTATAATTATTTTCAAACAACATATCTGATTTAATAAAATATTTCAATCAGCTGTTAAGACAACAAGAGATTTCAAATGAATACTAATAAAATAATGCTGATTACATACACATAGGTAATGCTGATTTCATTCATACAATTTTTATTTCATAGCTACTTTTACAATTACAACCTCATAGCTATAATAATGTATCGTAACTAACTAATATATATATATACATATATATATATATATATATATATATATATATATATATATCAAGAAAAATTGGCTGAAAAATGTTCATAAAGGGGAAAGACAGCAATACATTTTTTTAGGCAGACATTACGCAAACAGCAAAGCATAGCTACGCTCAGGTCATGGGTTCAATTCCCATGGTTGAATAAAATGGTAAAAAAAAACAAAAAACAATAACAATCTGGATAAAAGCGTCTGCAAATGCATACATGTATTGTGCTAAACCACACAGTTCATTCTTGTTTGTAAGAAATGTGGCGTTTTTTTGACCAACTGCCAAATGAAACATTCTGTTTCTATACATAATATCAGGTTTAGACACACCGAGGGAATAATCAGCTGTACACACTCTGCTTATCACACACACACTCCACAACGGCTGCGCATCCTAAACAACACACAAACACACCCTGCGGTTTTTTCATTTTCAATGTAGCATGAAGGCACATGTACGTGCAGCATTCAGACACAAAGAACCCAAATAAACCTCTGCATAGCAACGAAATGCAAATCTTTATCAGAGACATTATGGATTTCAGCTGCTTGTGCCATTAGTCTGTCTAACACGCACAGACACACACAAGCCAGCATCAACATCATGACCTGTGTGTGCATGATGCTAAAATTAGCTTGAGCGGTCAAAACATACAAATAATTAAGCAAATGAATAATGCTGCAATCAGTGAATACTCCGGCTAACTTGTGATAGACTAATATATCAGGCGATATTTAAGCATTTTGAGATTATTAGCTAATAATTTGTTTACTTGGATAAGTAAAAACACCGTTGTGAAAAGAATGTACAAAAGTAAATGTACAAGTAAAAGATATTAGTGCAAATTCTAATGATATCTAGATATTGATATATGTGTTAGGAGCCACAGTGTGTTTGCTGGTTTCAGGATTTTCATATACAGTAAAAGGAAACACAGGATTGACTGCACACAAAAATAAACCAAACGGCTCTTCCAGATGACAAACACGACTCACTTTCCCATGCTTGAGCTATGAGGAAAAAGCAGGCTTCCTTTTCCAAATGCATTCGGTACAATTGTTTACTTCATGCTTATTAGAAGAACCGTTTTATCAGTAGTACAAGACGTTCTTACAATAACTACTCAAATGCATACAAGGTAGGAAATGTTCCATGCTTAACCTATGTCATCAAGATTTAACATAAAGACAGTATGTTTAACCTGAATTTACAACTACAGATGTGGAGATTTCATTTGATTTCAACCTGCTCATTTCTAACCATTTGCCTTAATTATTTTATATATATATTACAATAGCTATAAATATGTCATTAAACTCAGTGGCATTCTGACTGTATCTCTGGCTGCTGTTTGTCTTTTTTGAGAGCTGCATTTCCCAGAATGCACTCAGGTTTAGGGGCTACTAGCACAAGAGGTTCATGCACCAAAAAAAAAAAAACATGTCCACACAAGCTTGAAATTTAAATGAAAAATTAATTAAACTCACCTCAAAAAATCTTGCAGATAACAATGTCTGGCTGTTTTAAATCATTTTAATTAATTCTGTATATATTTAGAATGCATATTTTAATGCTCATCAAATTCCTTAACTGTACTAATTCACAAATTGTAAACTATAATGCAACACAATTCTATTTTTTTAAACAAAAACAATGTGTCTAATACATCCATTAAAACAGTAATCACAAGATGAATACATAAAGCAAAATCTTTTACTTGAAAATTGTTGAGCAATAGTAATTTAGTTAAACACATAATAAAAGATTATTAAAGCATTGTTGAATTCAAGAAAATAATGCACTACTGTGATCAATAACTCAATACATTTACATGGTTTTAAATTCTTTAAAAAATATGAGATAGATAGATAGATAGATAGATAGATAGATAGATAGATAGATAGATAGATAGATAGATAGAGAAAAAATCAGAACATGTTTCCTGTGCAAACTAGCTGTTGTGTTATTCAATTAAATGATTATGCAGATGTGTTTTGTAACAATGGAACTTTTAAGTCCCAGGAATCATTTTAACATCTCATTAACATCCAGCAGTAGACATATATGATCACCAACAGATTACAAAAACACAATGTAACAAAGCAGCAAAACTGACAGCAAACAAGTGTGGTGAGCTCGAGTGCTAATACAATTCAGAAGAAACCTCTGCTTTTGTTCTATAAATCTGCGTATGCTATTTGAAGTTGCCGTGGAAAGCATGGAAAATGATGAAAGGAGATAATCTCCGGTTTAGTGCATGTGTCTGCATTGATTTAGGTCTGAATGTCCATGAGAAGAAGACGAATAAATATTGTGAAAGGGGGGCTAAACTACACCCATGTAAACACGAGAGCACATGATGTTCAGTACAACAGTTCACACCGAAATCGCTTGCCGTTCTTCAAAAGTCTGGTTGTGAACGCAGTCTGAGCATCGTGTGCTCCGTGTGACATCTTCCGAAATGTTGGCAGGTTTATCAGACATGTTCCTGCGAGCATGAGGCGAATAAACGCAAATGTCATGGGCTTGTCTAGCTTTTCTCTTCCTAATTAAGTCTTTTCAGGTTCCTGTAAGAGCTGCGTCCTAAATACCTCTGTTTACTACTAAAACGGCGTTCGAGTGATGATATCAATGGAGAGTAAATATGCGTTTTTGGCGTTCTTAGAGTGACGGGATGAAAACAAACACAAGCGCATGTTTACTTCTGCTTTCCTCGAACACATCTGCTGCTGATGTCAATGAGATGCGACAGATAACGTGAAAAAAGAGTCAGGAGCTGAACGGCTGAAACCCAGCACAGGCATTGTTGGACTTACTTGGTGAACGAACACGTCTAGTGGAGGGTCCACTGGCTTCCCCTCGCTGCTGGTCATCGATATAAATCCAAACCCCATGCGGACATTAAACCACTTGCAGTAACCCGAGCCAGCCAGAATCTGCGGCGGAGTTCTGGCGGGGTCCAACCCGCCACCTCCGCGCGGCCCTGTGCGGTAAAGGGAGAAAAGCCTATGATGTGGTGTGCTCCTGGTTGTGTACGTTCATGAAATGTAGCCTATACTTTGTTCTCGGTGTACACAAATGACCGTAGGTCTGTGTAGGCAGCGTTTCTGAGGGAAATCCCCCAATTCTACTCAACAACAGGCGTTTAGTGCAACGATGTGTCTACAACCAGGGCCCTAACCACCACAGACACCCCCTTCTCTTTATAATCAATCAATATATGGGGTTTTCAGCGACAAACTCAAACTTTTACATTTTGGTCCCTTAACCTTATATTCTTACATCATTGTCTACAACCCACCCTCGGGGAAACTGGAGAAACTCAATTAAAAGTAGAGCTACACTTCAGATGAGAAGGCGCAGTGCATTGCGATTGCTCAATGTGCCCAGTTAGTATACTATGTAACTTCTTGTAGTCGCCTACCGTAGGCTATGTGAACCGCCTGGCGTGGGGCAGGTGTGCACACGTTACCCGCCCCTCCCACCCCCAACTACCCAACTCAACCGGGGCTCTTCATCACATGTAGGCTACAAACAACGTAAACAAAGCACGGCGGACAACACGCGTTCCCGTCTGAACGTGAAAAGAGATGTTTAAAAAAAAAAAAAAGCATCGTAACCTTCGGCCATGTTTCCCCGCGGATCCTCCGTTCCAAAGTTCCGGCGAAATCGTTTCCTCCGTGAAATGGGGTGATGCGTGTCACCGTCGATACGACATCCCGATTTCCAGCGGGCACAAATTTAGCGCGCATGGTACGGCGTGCGTCTCCTTTTTGGATATTTTGTCATGTCTCTTTTAACATCTCCTATCCCCTCTCTCTTTCCCTCCCTCGCACATTCGCTCTCTCTCTCTCTCCCGCTCTCCGTTTCTCATTCGCTCGCAGCGCTGCACACGTGACTGCTCCGTGAGCCCGGGAGAGGGAGCGGACTCGGAGCCGGGCTGGACTTCAGCTCTACTGCTGCGGCGTCACGTAAAAGCATCTCCGTCTGTACAGGTTCAGTTTTTTAACGCGTTTTATGACGTCTAAAATCGGTTTTGTAAGTCATTCGAGGGGCCATAAAAAGTCCAGCATTTTAGTTTTTTTTTTTTTTTTTTCATTTATATGTAACAATTTAATGATGCGTTATGTAACCAAATTCCAACCGCTGGTAACCACAGTCATTATACTTTATAGTCTTAGAAAGTAAATACTTGTATAACACTTGTCGCAGCGAAATGCTACACAAAAGTTTTCCAGAATGTACCTCTTTATACAGAGGTTAGTTGGTTTTACTGTTCCATTAAACTGTAGATTAACAATCGTTTGCCTATTATATAAATTTGTTTTAAAGTTATACCTTTATGCCATTAACCAAAAAGACGAAAATGTTTCTTCTGCACGCATTTGGTATCTTTTAAAATCCACTAAAAATGTTTTTGTTGTTCTGCTGTTGCTGATGTCTTTCTGCTTTTGTTTAAGCGTTTCCAAAACATTCCGTATTATAGTTTGGGAGAAATGAGATCATCAAATTATCGTTTGTTGAAGCGCACTGCAGTTTGCATTTGTTGTTTGCTGCAGCACAAACGTCAGTGAGACTGAATCAGAATAAGAAGACCTTATTGACCAAGTCCTCCATGGATTTTTTTTCTGGGTTACATGAGCTTTGCGCACTTGAAGATATATACATAAGGATATCTACATCAATGCACGTCTAGACAGAACAAACATAAAAACATAAAATAAGTGTATTGCAACAGTATAAATATATTTAGCTTTCAAAATACATGATTTGTTGATTCGTGAAAAGAGAGCATTTATTCCAAAACAACTAGCAAATCACCCCACTTTTTCCAGTATATAAAGTGATAAAGCATGGTAAACATTGAACCCATATAATGGAATGTTCTAAAAATGAAAGTATGGAACAGGATGAAATGCAATGTTACTTTCTCTTTCTGTTTCTGTGCTTATTGTGTTCTTTTGAATTGTATCTGAGTGATCTGTTCACAAAAAACTGTATTCAAATGTGCATTAAACCAACCAGTTGAAATGGAAAATAAGCTGAAACTGACAACTGAAATAATTTTCTCCTGTAATAACAACGTAATGTTTTCGTTTCTACAAGAAATTCGTTCAGTAAACGTTTCTGACAACCTCATGATCAAACCTGATGCCTTGGCAGAGGATGTTTTTCTCTGTCTTTGAGCCAGAGGAAAAACACGTTGGTGGAGCGAATCGAAAACTACCCCCACTGCTCCTACGCTCCGCCCATTTTCACCCACCCCCACCCACCCATCCATGCAGACCACCCTCCGGAATTCACCCCTGCCCCCAATCCACCCACCCCACTGCACCAGTTCTGCTGTCGGAGAGGCTCTGTGTGTGTGTGTGTGTGTGTGTGTGTGTGTGTGTGTGTGTGTGTGTGTGGAAGAGATGGATGGTGGTCGTGCCATTACGGCGCAGGTCACGGATCTGGTCCCCGGTGTCAGATGTTATGGAGTTTCTCATTTCCTGCACGAGGGCTTCACATCCACCATTCATAAAACGGAATGGGAAACACGCCCCACGAGGTCACGGACACACCCTAAATGTCCCCGTTTGATCCCGTTAAAGTTCGCAAGCATCGAATAAGTTCCAGGACAGACAGATAAATAAAGAAGTTGCTCTGTGTTTTATGTCTACCGTAAACGCAAAACAGGTCCTCAAGTTAGAAAAGTTATTTAAATCAACAGCACTGAAGAATATTGATTTGTGGTGGTAAAAAAAACCGCTTGTGATTGTAGAGTTTAGAAAATAAAAGCGAGGCTTAAATCATCAGCAGGTTATTCAAACTTATCATTTTTATTTCCGATGAATATTACACAAAACTGTTAACTGATTTTGACCTGTTGAGTTTAATGCTGGACTGAATAACAACACTCTACAAACTTTCCTAAAATTCAGACATAGCAATTACCTATATATAACAGTCATGCACGTGTTGGTTTAATTTTAAGCTCTCATTAAATCCATACTTATGTAATTCAAATGATATGTAAACTAAAGGAGATTAAACAGTAATACAGTCTAAAGCAAAATATTGCACAGCATTTAAATCGCACGTGTTCAGTTAAATTGTTTCAATCCTGAATTGTTCATAACCCACTTAGTAAGAGTTACACTTTTTTTTTTTAATTAGCAAGAGTTGAAACTTTTAAAATGTAACGTTTGGAGGATCTCTTGTTTTCTTTTTAAAGAAACAAACCAAACTTTTTCTATCTGTCAGAGCAGTTTAGACATTAATTCTTCAAATCCAAACTCATAATCCAACACCAAAGAAATGTTTTCCACATGTGAAATGATCTTTTAAATCAGGACAATGCAAATAGGTGCTATTGAAATGCAAAACAGTTCACCAATTGACATGTTCATTCATAAGCTGGATATTTAAAGTGCATTTCACTTAACAGAATTTTAAAACACACTGAACAGAAGCAGCCTGAAAACATGCCCTTGGCTGTTGAGATTGGCCATTATTTAGACTTCCCCTCCAAAGTGAATATGAAAATATTCGTTTAATCTTGAATTAAACTAATTCAGTTGAAATCATTTTGTCAACATTGCTAGGAGGCGAGATCCCCGTCTAACACATCAATAAAGTGAGTTCACAGCAGAAGGCGTACAGAGATGCTTTGTGCTAACAAAACCAACAGATTGGAGGGTCTGTTTGGATGCATTGAGCAGTTCGGATCCGCCATACCTTCACCTCACCCACCCCCACCCAACCGAACCCCCGAGGAAACGCATGGTTGTCAATAGAGTTCACAGAGTTTATTCAGCTCAGCTCTTCTCCTTTCTTTTGGTTTAATGCTGCATTCGTTCAATTCCTCCATCTCTCCGAAATTATCTACCGAAACCAACACAAGCCCGATCGTATCGAGTATGAGGGGAGGATATTTTGAAATGCTTCCTTCTCAGTTTTACACGTGAAGGCTGCTGCTAGTCGTTCTTACAAAGACCACTACATGTATGGTCTCATTATAAGGTAAGGACTTATTCTATTCAAAACAAAACACACGGTATTCGAATTATAATTTTAAAAGTGTTTTGACCCAGTCACATACTTTTAAAATCACTTTTATGTGTAGCCTACTAATGATGAACTGAAGAGCTAAAATAGAGAATAGAGGGGGGAAAGGATTTTCTACAACATTCCCATGCAGTTTCCTAATTATCACAGCTCAAACATCGTGTAAAATATGAGTCTTTATCGTGATTTTGGCGCATTTTGTCACACACACAAAAATTTGAGACGGGAGATGATCAGTTGTTTCTTTTGCCAGTCTTTGATGCTGTTTATAGGCTATTTTTCGTTTCTATTAATCTGCGAAAAAGTTTTTAAAACGTTATTAGATATCAGGGGCCAGTTGCATAAACATAGACACTATTTAAGACTGTGTCTTAAGAACTAGTTTGACCAACTAGCAGTTAGCCAAGAGTTAATCAGTCTCACTTTTCTGAATAAAATTGGGCAAATCTACATTTTTGTTATTGACTTTAAACAGTTATGACCAGTCTAGAAGAAAACTAATTAGATGGCTTAATTTTTAAGACTTGTCAAAGCAGTTTATGCAACCGGCCCCAGGTTATTATCCGCCTAATTTCTGTTTAAAACGCAATATACAGCGTTTAGCCTATATGTTTTTCATTTTCTTAAGAAAAAAAAGTTACAATTTTGTCTGCTCAATTTCAGTACATTTAAAATGGCCGTTGAACAAAACTGAAAGCTTGTGTTTATTAATTAATGTGTATTTATTATGATTTTTTTTTTTAATCGAAATGAATTAGCTGCATTTGTTATCTTTAGGCTACTGCAAAATAGCTAATACTCAACAGATAACAATGAATACATTTAAAACATTTGATATGCATTCTAAACATTTTAACAGCTTGCAACAACATTCCTTGTAAAATAGTAAGATCTTCTGTGGGTTATTTGTGTCGGCGGCTGAACGCTCCTTCATTGCGTCAATCATGACGTCGAACGGAAGTAGTATAAAAGAAGCATTCAGGATTCTTTTCCTCTCCGTCTGTCTTTCAGTCGCTCTCCTGTAAAAAGGACCTGACGACGTCCTTCCCCCCGTTTAAATAGTTTAATCATATTGTATGATCATGTTATTGTGACATGGTTTCATAAAGGTTCAGCACTCAAACAGGTAGCGCTGCTGATCTGCTTCTAATGTCCACGCGCTCACAGAATGGATATTATTGTTAGCTATTATGTTCATATATTTATTTCTAGCATAGGCTACACAATTTATAAATATCTCACTCACCCGAAATGGAGTGCACGGCAATGCGCTCCGTGTCTGACCCTGTGAAGGAGTCAAAATATGATTAGGCTGTTTTTGAGTAACATCTTGACTTAACTAAAAAAAAAAAAAACTTCTGTTGTAGGTTTTAGGCTAATACACGGACCGAGGCTCGTTTGTTTCAGTTTTGTTCGGGCTGCTCGTGGCGCGTTCATTTGTGCAGAATGGAGGAATTTTCCAGTATGAATATTTCATAGCGCCTGTGAAATGTAAGAAGAAGTTTATGTCGCTCCTTTAATCCAAACGCGAATAATAAACGCGGGAACGGACGCACAAGCACGTGCTTTGATTTTAGACACACTGAGGAAAATATTTAAATATAGCCTACTTTATTATTTACGCGGGTGTTTATGCGTTTCAACAGTTCAGCAGTTTACATGGCTAGAAAAAGATGAAATTCTATACCTGTAGATGACGTTTCAAACCCAGACTGGTGTGGATAATAAAACGAAACTTTTTAGAAAACTCCTGACAATCTCTGTCAAGTTCATTAGCGTCAAAATATCCCGTCAAATACCTGTTGGGAGGGAAAAACAGTCTGGAAAAACAGTCGCTCTTTTGATATATGATTTCGAAACTTGCCAACTTTTCTGTAAAAGTTTACGTTTAGAGAAAACTAAAAATGAATGTCTACGTGAGTACAACATTTAATGTTGCTTGTAAACAAATGAAATTATGACATTAAGACTGCTATTCTTGTGTTTTATAATCAGAGTTAAATTGTTCATTTGTTTAAACTGGTCAAGTCAAATAACCGACCTGTTTTCTTATTAAAATAACGTAAACCACCATTAACGTTTTCCCGTATGGATAAAACAACAAAACAAAAATGTCTGTAAGCTGATTCTAACACATATGATTGAATGGCGGGCTCTGATTGGCAGCCATTTTGTGTGAACATGCCTTAAATCCAAGAAAAAAATCCACACAAGGAAAAATAGCAAACTAAAGGTCGCTGGATTTATATTTTAAGCGTAATAAAATCAAAGTTACTAGCTGGCGTGTCTCATCTTGTGGGGCCAAATAAAAACACATCAAACTGTCAGGTCTGCTTCTTCAAGCTTACAGTAGGAAGACTTTCCTTCCAGCAGCGCCCGCTGGCGGTCAATCAGCGCAATGAGGTTAGTGTGAAGAAGCGGTTCTGCAGCAGTTTTGGGAGCCGACCAGCTTCAGCTTGAGATACTTTCAAAAGCAGAATTAGGGCCTATATAATTTTGTATACTGAAATGTATCTACGTAAACGACATGGTCAAATGGGCAATTAAAAATAAAAGTTTGTACAAATGTGAAGTTAGCATTGGAAGAAATGTCTAAAACCTTAAAGCCTAAAATGTAGTGGCACTGCCTTTGGTTTTATTTTTATTTATTTATTTTGTATCTTTTCTGAAATTGGCCATTAGGCCTTCCATGGGGTTCTCTTCTGGCCTGATACGATCACTCAGTGTTTCAATAACACCCTACTATAAATCCAAGATTCAGATAATACGATTGTGAATTTGAATGTTCAGTCAGTCAGCTACTGATTTTACCGTCTTGCAGTTTCATCACACGCCGACATGCGCAATCTTACCGTTCATCCGCCATTACCGGGGCGTCAGGAATACGGGTGTGTATGTGTTTGTTCCGCAGCTGTGTTGATGTCTGCAGGCGGCGGCGGGAGACGGCGGAGTTCTCCGGGTTCCGTTTTGCAACTCAGCTCGCCGCATCCTCCATAGAGAGCGCGCGAGTGTTGCTAGTTGCCATGCGCAGATTCCACATGCAACTTTACGGCTGTTTCATAAATAAAACAAATAGTGTTTATTGCTAGATTTACTAGAGTAGCGTTCTAGAGCGATATAATCTATTGTATGTTTAATAGGCTTGTGTTCACTCAAATATTTGTCACAGATGTTTGTGATTTGTAACTTTTTTATGTAATATGTTTCAAGGAAAATAAAAACTCAAAGCAGTTTCTTTAGAGTTCACAGTATTTAAAGTGAATATTATAACGGCAGTCATTATTGCAGGAAAATGTGGGAGGAAAATGTATTGCTCCATCTTCTGGTTATAATCAGGTAGTGCAGCAATTTGAAGTGTCTGTCAGAGTCGTTTAAAGGGGTCATATGATGCGATTTCAATTTTTCCTTTCTCTTTGAAGTGTTACAAGCTCTTGGTGCATAAAGAAGATCTGTAAAGTTGCAAAGACTAAAGTCTCAAATCCAAAGAGATATTCTTTATAAAAGTTAA